TACAGTATTTACTTTCCATAGAATAGTCTTCAGTCCTCAGACAAAAAGTTAGAGCCTCCTTACGATAACATTTATTTCTTACAAAACCTCCCTTCGCTAACCACTCCACTCACTAGTCCTTGATTATACCCCAACCTCTTAATCTTTTTCTGCTTATCGGGTCCATATGTTTGCTTTCAGGGCCAGTTAAAGTCATAAATCAAATTCCAATGGCTCCAACTCCAGTTGGCTTCCCCTTTTTCTGACACCTCTCACAACTCGCTGTTTCCGCTCTTGTAATTAATTGCGGTGGTTACATAATCCGTTGTCAATTTGAGACTTAAGAGTGAAGGGGTGGAGTTTAGCCTGTCAATCAAGTCTCTGCTCGATGACCTCATTTGAAGGTGTTAAGGAGATAAATAGCACACTGGAGGCAGGACACACGCTCATTTCCTGTGAGACATTCCCATTGACAAGACACATGGAGCTACGCTGGCACTCTGGAGCTGAAGGAGCCACATGGATCCACACCCTGGATCCACAAGACTTTCCACCCACTGGCCTGTGATCTTTCTGCACTCAGCATTCTTGTATGGCTGCATGAGTATAAAGAGGAATTTATGGACTAGTATTAGCTGGGATGTTTTCTTAATGTACAGTTACTCTTTGATATAAAACTCTCTCTTCCACACATATGAGTGTCTATGAATTTGTTTCTCTAGTCTACCCAGACTAACACATTAATTGTTTGTTCATTCCACAAAGTTCCACCCTGAGTCACGTGCCAACACTGTGATAGACACAGAGGTGCAAAGATGGCAAGGTAATTTCTGACTTTGAGGAGGTTGTGATCTTAATTGGTACAATTTGACAAATTAGAACATTAAATATGTATGGAGCCCTGGTGGTGTAGTGGGTTAAGCTTTGGGCTGCTAACTGTCAGATCAGCAGTTCCAAGCCCCCGCTACTCTGAGGGAAAAAAATGAAGCTTTTTGCTCCCATAAAGATTTATAATCTCAGAAACCCTGATTAGGGTATTGACATGACATTCATGGGTTGTTTTTTTTTTGTTGTTGTTGTTGTTTTGTTTTTGGGTGGGGAGAAACTATCTTATTCCTCTTGTTATTTTGAGTAATTATCAGCATCCACTGTAGAAAACACACATAATATGTACTTATTGCTGTTAACAATGATGACGAAAGACAATGAGCATACCTGCTCAAATAATAATGAAACAAGGTAGAGGCCAGCAACATGGTGCTAGATAGTCTCGTATGCAGTCCTACTAGACACTCAAGGTGGGAGGCTAGTTTCTGTCCTTACGTTGAATTTTTAGTATGCTAGAAATGTTTCATTCATAAACGGTCTAAAATGTCTAAGAATACTATTATCCACATAATTTTCTGGGAGTCTACAAGGAGGCAAACTAACTCTTAAGAGGTACACTAACTACAAGGAGGTAAACTAAGTCATTTTGCAGAATTAACTTAGCTCTTCCCTAAGGAATCCAATAACCGCGCACATACACTCACACCGCATGTGTTCATCAGCATACATTTATAGCTCACTCACTGCCATTGAGTCAAGGCTGATGCATAATGACCCCTGTGGTCTCTGAGACGGTAACTGTTCACAGGAGTAGAAAGCCCACTCTTTCTCCCGAGGAGTTGCTGGTGGTTTTGAACTGCTGACCATGCAGATTGCAGGCCAGTGCTTAATCACCATACCCCCAGGCCTCATTTTTTTTTCTTTTTAAAACCATTTTATTGGGGGCTCGTACAACTCTTATCACAATCCATACACTCGTCCATTGTGTCAAGCACATTTGTACATTCATTGTCCTCATCATTCTCAAAACATTTGCTTTCTACCTGAGCCCTTGGCATCAGCTCCTCATTCCCCGTCCACAGTCAGTGCCAGGGACATTTCCAAGTGGATTCCTGTATTTCATCCTTAAAACAAGTGTTGGAGGAAAGTAACCTCTAGATCTTAAAGACGCAGATGAAGAGACTGCAAGGGAGCAGTTCACTTGTTTGCCGTTGTTAGTAAAGAAAGTGCCTGGATTCAGAAGTCTTCAACTTTATTCCCATCTGTCTTCCTTAGTGATCATGCTATTCTTTCCGCCCCCAAAACCCAAAGGCAAATGGACAAATAAATAAGTGATGGGGGAAACGAAAGAAAAAAAAATGGGGAAAGGCAATAAGGACGTGTAAGTTATTTTTGAAGATGAAGGCCAAGAAAGGTAGAAGGTGAAGGACAAGTGAGTGTAGTTGTAATAGAAGAGGTAACTTTGAAACACTCTGCGGGGAAATGCAAATACGTTTCATTCCCCTAAATTAAGGATGGAGTCCCTGGGTGGGGTAAAGGGTTAAGGCACTTGGCTGTTAACCACAAGGTTCGAGGTTTGTGCCCACCCAGAGGTGCCCTGGAAGAAAGGCCAGGTGATCTGCTCCCCAAATACCAGCCACTGGAAACTGAAGCACAGCTCTACTGTGTTGTACATGGAGTCTTCTTGAGTTGAAACTGGCTCTATAGCAAATGGATTTTTCTGTCTTTGCTCTGGCTTTAAAGTTAAGTAAGCATCACTAAAACTTTATGTAACATTATCTGAAAAGTACCCATAAAATTGCGCGTGTACACACACACACACACACACACACACACACACACACGGGAGGGAGGGAGAGGAGAGAGGGAGGGAGAGAGAGAGGGAGAGAGAGAGAGAGAGAGAGAGAGAGAGAGAGAAAAGGAGAGAGAGAAAGAGAAGGAGAGAGAGAGGGAGGGAACAAGAGAATAGGAGATGAAATTGAATGGGAAATCAGTCTATGGCACTGGGCATTTTCCAGGGGCTCCACCTTTTGCCCCACTGGGACGTCACACCCAGCCCTGCTCCTTGGCCTCTGTTTGGAAGAGTTGAGGCCAACCCAGGAGACAGCATGCTCATTGTGAGCAAACACAGCTGTCACCAGGCCATTTTGTTTGCTGGAAGGTTGCTGCTTGAATGGTAGCCTCTCAGAGGCATGAGGGCTGGCTTGCTGCATCTGTCCTTAGAGCCATCCCAGGACAGAGCAAAGTGTGCTCCTGGGAAGGCAGGGACCCTTTAACCCACCGAGATTCCTCCTCTGTTCTGAGAGTGGTGGGTGGAGGTCCCAGGCTACAGAAGAATGAGGCACATAAAAGAATGAACTGGAAAGTGGTTTGAGTAACTAGGCTGGTGCTGAGCGCCCTGCTCTGGAGGCAAAAGCAAAGAGAAAACCAAGCGAGGAGTGCTTGGACCACATAGGAGCCAGGTGCTTTTAAAAACACGTCTGCCCTGGGTCCAACGTTGCACACTCCGCCATGCTTACATGATAAAGCGGCATTTTCCTAAAACACACCCTCTTAAAAAAAACAAAAACGAAAAACAAAACAAACAAAACCCACACCCTCTGAACGCTCCCAACCCGGGAAGGCAGAGAGGCCATTCCTTATTCAAGAAGGGCTTTCTGCTCATGACAAGCCCAGGTGAACATAGATGACCCCCTTGACACAAATGATTGTGAAATTGTGAAGCCTGCCGGGAGGGGATGAACCAGAAAACTCTTCTAAGCGACGTTGAGCCTTATGAGCTCTACAGTGGATTGTGCAGATAAAGAGCAAGTCTTAGAGATGCAAATCAAAGCGCATCTGGCCTGCCGCTGTATGAATGGATAAGGTTTCTTCAGGTTACGGAGCGGGTCGTTTGTGTGCTCTGGAAATAACTGACGAGACAACCAATGGAGTCAACACAGCCCCACATCACAAGCATTTTCTCAGATAAAAAGTGCATTATAAACAAACAAACAAACAAAAGGTTGGTTTCTTGGGCGACTTCTTTGAGCCTTCCCACGAGTTTAGTCTATTTTTAAAAAAGAAATGTTAAAGTATTGTCATTGTTCCTGGGGTAGCCTTGAATATCGCCACAGTTTATGTCCATGACTTTGTAGGTCCCTAGGAGGGAGTTTGTTTGCTCGCCAGCTCAATTTTTGACAAAGAAAAATGGGCCGCCTTGGCGCCTCTCACACAAAGATGCACTGTTTCTCAGGCAAGCGCCGGGCGTGGGGTGCTGGGGGCGGGCGTAAGGGTGGCAGGGCCCCGGGAGGAAATGTGTGTGCAGACTGACCAAAAAAATTATTATACAGCATCAAAATGTAGTTAGTCTAAAATGTCCATGTCCTGGCAAAAGGGTGGCTTCTTGGCATTGAGCGGGCAGCTCTGTCATCTGGAAATCCCAGCAGCATTTCCTTTCAGCCACCGCTCCGCCGCTAACAGGCGCCCTCCGGGCAGCTGTACAGGGCTGGAAGTTTCCAAAGGAGCGAAGCTAAGTGTTTGGGAAGTTGGGCTGCCCCTGCGCCTGCCCCAGAGCTGCCATCTGGGCTGGTTTATTTGTCTTGCCAACTTTCTAGAAGAAAAGTGTCTCTGTTAGGTGCTGGGCACTAAGCAAAGAAAGTGCCTCACAGACCACCTTTCCTCACGCCCCACCCCCGCCGTTACGTGCCTTCTAGCACTTTCGAACATCAAACGGGAGGTAGCACACTCACAAAAAGGAGCCTGCCTCGAGCCCCAGCCCGTCTTAGCCAAGATCGCTGGAGAGACACGTACTAGTGCCCGCATGCCACCTTCTTTCCGAGCCTTCCCACAACACAGACTGTCCGGAAAGCTAGGGCTCCGTGTAGTCTCGAGATGGAAGAATTTCCACGTATCCTTCGATGAGGATGTGCTTCAGAAATGAAAGAAATACTCTCCAGAGGTTTTTCTAAATTTATAGGGCACTAGGAGCCATGTCATACAAAACAAAAACAAACAACACCCAAACCAACCAACCAACCAACAAACCAGAATCTTTCAGAATATAGTTAAGGAACAAAGCATTGTTGTTAGATTCATTTTACAATCTGGTTATGAAGAACAGACTGAAAATTCGCCAGCCCCAAATTTAAAAGCATTAATACTCTCCTCTCATCTTTGAAACATTTCCATGAGCAAATAAAAGCAAAAAGTACCTTGTAAAGTAAAATCCAGCAATATATATTCGTAAGCAAACTCTGTCTTTGTTTCCACTTGCGGTCTCTTCAGGGTAGAAAATATTTTTCCAGGACTGCTGTCCTCCGGATCCTCTAGCTTTCTAAGTCCGCACCCCATGGCAAAATCTGCAAGGAATTAAATGGCAGGAAAGGGAGGGCGAGCAGCGAAGGCTGTTGTTTGAGCTGCAGACTGAACTGATTTTGTTTTCCGCTAAACTATAAATACTCCAACAGAAAACTTTGGAGCCCAAAAAAGGAGCCGAAGCCTTTTTCTATGCATCTTTCTGTAAAGTCGCTGGACCCATGATTAAGCTACAGCTCCGGGAGACTGGGCTTGGTTTTAGAGGAAAAAGCAAGCTGTTACAATTTAGCAGAGAATTTCCATGCCACGTCAATTTACAGCCAGCCCCCTACCAGAGTTCTGGCGCTTAGGGCACCAACCGCGCTTTGTCTGTCTCAGTTGGCTGGGTGAGAAAGAGGTGTCCAAACACAGAAATCAAAAGGCAAAAGTGCAACTTCGGTGTAATTATCCACAAGTGGAAGATCTATTCAGAAGAAGTGACATAAAATTCCTTTCCTGCTTCCCCCTACCCTCCCTGTCTCTCTTTCCTGTGCCCACACTCCTTTTCCCAAGAAAGCAAAAGGACTCTATGCTGGGGGAAGGGCGGGTGGTGGTGGTGGGACAGATCTGGTCAGAGTGAAGGAATGAAAAAAAAAAAAGATTCTCAACATGGTTGGAAAGACAAATAATTTCCACAAAGGAAGTCAGCTTTAAGGGGAAATTTTTGGGAGTGTGAATATAAAAGGAGAATTATCAAGTAAGAGGGGGAAATACATCCCTTTAGTTTTTAGGAGCACTTCTGAAATTTCTTTACCTAGGAAAGATTTTGTTTGTTTGTTTTTTGTTTTTTTTTTGGAAAAATCATATGCTGATTGAAATAGGTGCGAACACTTTCTATTAAAGTATTTTAATAAAAGACTTAAATTAATTGCAAAGGAGAGGCATCAACGGGATAATTTGTTATGCCAACATCATTAAAATAGCTGAAAGCTCTACTATTAGAAGGTAGAAATGAATATAACATTTGTCTAGGCGCCCTGGTGGTGTAGTTGATATGTCTTGGGCTGCTAACCTCAAGGTTAGCAGTTGAAAACCAATACCTGCTCCTTGGGAGAAAAATGAAACTTTCTACTCTTATAAAGATTTACAGTCTTGGGGTGGGGGGAATGTACAGTCTTAGAAACCCACAGATGCAGTTCTATTCTGTCCTATGGGGTCCTTGTGAGTCAGAATCCACTTGGTGACAGGGAGTGTGAAGACGTCCAAAGTCCAAAGTATTCCCAACAAGGGAAAAAAAGACAATCTGATTTATTCAACTGTACACATTGCGATTTACCTGCGGTCGAGAAGAATTTATAATTGACCAGGTGAGAGCGTTTATTTCACAAATTACAGGAAGAATGGTGTGTGCTTCACACTGACCTGGGTTCAAATCCTGCTCCTACTACTAAGGAAAGACTCCACCTTGGGCAGGGCAATTGACTTCTTCAAGTTTTCATTTCCTTTTCTGTAAAATGGAGCTAATAATAGCACTGACTTCATAGGCTTGCTATGAAGGTTGAGTGAGATCATCTTTGTGGAATGCTTGTAACATGCATACATTATTTAATTTGTAATTTGCATATATCATAAAGTGGGGTTGGTGCAGTAATAGGAAGGAAGCCATTCTACCACCACTCCCATCATTTGTGAAAGGCACTCTGACCGCCTTTCAGACTCTACGTAGCATAAAGCTTGCCAAGATGTTTCAGAGTGCATATGAAAACCCTCAGAAGAGAAGTGGACTATTTTGTCTGTAAGTCATGCTGACCACTTATGTCTTTCTTCTGCCAACTTGTCTTTAGAGGGCTTTCTTCTTTCCAATGTTTGTACTTGAGAAAACGTCTAGAGCCCTTCGTGCTCAAAGATGAGCCTGGTGCTGAGAAACTGCTGCCTTGAGAGAGAGCAGACTCTGACCCCGGATGACTCACTGGCCTAGTCACAGCACATTTGTGTCTGTCACTTTTCCTATCCTCTTTTGTAGGATGGACGTTGGGCCCCAGGATGGCAGCAATAAAACCTGAGAACCTCACTTTACCTGATTATGAAGTGCCTTTTTGAAGGGCTTACTATGTTCAGGCACTGAAGCAGGTGTTGAGCACACTGAGATGATCCGACATGGCCTCTGCCCTAAAGACCAAAGCAAACCCAATCGAACCCACTGCCAGTGAGCCCTTGCCGACTCATAGTGACCTTGTAGGGCAGGGTAGAACTGGCCCTGTGAGTGTCTGAGCTTATAACTCTTTGTAGGAGTAGAAAGCCAGGTCTTTCTCCTGCAGAGTGGCTGGTGGTTTTGAACTGCTGACCTTGGGGATCGGGTTTAAGAGGGAATGGCAGACTTAAACACAGATCAGGAAGTATGCATAGGATGCTCTAGAAACCTAGAGTGGTCCCTGACTCAAGCTGAGTTTGAGAGATAAGTTCTTGGAGAAATCAAGATGTGTAATTAGGGAGTGTGCATGAGTGTAAGCATGAACAAAGGCACAAAGCAGTAGGGCCGACATGTCTGGGGAGCATCCGGAATTCCTGGAATATAGACCTTTGAAAGAACACTAAGCTGTTGGGCAGGCAAGCTCCAAGGTATCCTGGACTTTGAATGCCAGCTGAGAGGAACCCAGGCTTTACTGTGAAGGCCACAGGGTGCCAGGGAGGAGCTTTTGCAGGCAAGTAGCATCAGTTTGCATTTAGATAGGTCACTGGTCTGCTTTGAGGAGGATGGTTTTAATAGGAGCAGGAGTGGAGCGACAAGAGTCAGGAGGTCATTGTAATAGCTTCGTGGGGAGCTGATGACTGAACCGATGAAGACATTATGTGAAACACTAATCAGCCCTTACATGATTTATTTAACAAAGCTCACCAAACCAAAAAACCCAAACACACTCACTCCCATTGGGCAGAGAGGGGAACTGCCCTCTGTGGCTTCTTCACAGGAGATGAGAGCCCTGTGGGGTTAAGGGAAAGAGGGAACCCCACAAAACATCACAGGTTCGGTAGATGCAATTGTACAGCGATAATAAGTAGAGATTATAGTAAAGTCATAGAGAGCATGAGAGTTAAAGGATGGAGTCAGGTAATGGAGTCAGACACAACTCATGGTAGCATAGCTCACCTCAGCTAGGCTTGATGGCCCTCGTGGAGGGGGCTTAGCCGTCAGAGAAGAAGCCGCTGCTTCATCCTCCTTAGTCACCTTCTCCAGCCACCCTCCCGAGAACCAGGGAGCCTCATTATTTATTGCTAACCACGCATCATAGAGTCATACATCACAGAAAGGGGCAATACAATTCATTCTAGAACAAGTTTGATCATTCTAATGTCTCATATAATAAAACAGACAATTACTATTCTGGGAGGCATGCAAGTTCCCTGATAGTGGACAATGACCTGAGTCACCAGGAGGGGTATTAACATAGGGGTATTAACATAAGCAATACAATCAATAGGAGGGGAATCACCTAGGGGTGTGCCCACATTGGTTGTGTTATAAACAGTGGTGTCTGCGTGATCTAGACAGCTGATAGTGGCTAACTAACCTTGGTCATCCTTGGGCGGGTTTGCCCTCTCTGGTATCTCCTGCAAGTGAACAGACCACCATTATCCTTATCAGAAGGGAGTGGGTCTTATTTAGGGTGAGTCAGACTAATAGTCTAGCCACTATAGATGGCTGATGTTAAGGAGAATAACCTCTGACCTACTTTCGCTGATCACCTAGTGTACAGTCACTTTTAAGCAGCTAAGTCTGGTACATATTTTGGGGAGACAACTTAAGAGAAATCCTTCTGTTCCCCACAGAGCCCCAGCTTTCTCCCCAGGAGTGGGTGCTGGTGTCCCACTGTCGACCTGTCTCACCTGATGCTTTAATCCACAGTTGAAGCTCCATTCTCTCCCCCCAAAATGATCAAAAGCAATATTTCAAAAATGTATTTCTACCTGTTAATATGATACGCCTGCTATTTTCATATTTAATGAGATTTCATTGGTAAAGACAAGTAACATTTGGATTATTTCCGGATTTTTGAAGTAAATACATATATGTTTTCCTTTTAAATGAAGAAAAGCTTTGCTTAAGGGTTGCATACTTACTGGAGTAAATCTGAATGATCCCACTCCTCTGGAGTGCAGCTAGTGCTTACTGGTTTCCAGGTGTCTTTAGCTTCTGGTTGGAATTTGAATAAATAAAAACCTAAATAAAATAGATGAAAGTTCCCTGACTGTTCAGGGGAATACTCAAAAAAAAAAAAAAGAAAAAGAGAGAGAGAGAAAAGTAAATATTTTTTTAAAGAGTACTTTCCCCCCATCTTGGATTATTTCCTAAATTCTTTGATTCAACTTCATTAACAATTAAAGGAAACCATTTACATTCAGATGAATCAGAAAGGAATCAGCAGAGAAACACATTCTAATGACTAAATCACATATTTATCTCTAGGTATCAATACACAGCCATCATTACGTTTTTTATGATACTTATGTTTTTCATTTAAAGCATCACTTTGGTAAGTAAGCTTCTGTTAGTCGTCACATGTTTGTCTCACTCGAGTCTCTCCCTCTGGCGCCCATGCATTCTTATACGACAGCTCTCATTCCTCAACTTGTCCTGAGAACAGTTTGCGTCTCTTCAATAGTACATTCATCCTCTTGAAACAGATGCTCTGTTTTCTGTGCTTTTGTCTTTTCTTTTAAAGTTTGGGGGAAAAAGTCCTTGCTTGATTTCAGTCCATCTGGAAATTGTTGTGATCTCAGGGATAAGATACAACAAACCTAAAACAGTTACAATTGGTCCAGATATTCCATTGTTACATCCATATTGATTTTCATAATCTTTTACCAATTATGTTCCCTCAGACTTATATATATTGAGCACTTGTAATAATTATCATACATTTTTGGATTCAGTGTTCTCTACATTGATTATTTTTCCTCTTTAGAATCTTGCTTGTTTGTTGCCAACGGTAGATGTTCGGGCCGTTTTCAGCTCTGTTTAGTGAATAAACAGTTCTGATGGTAAATGGGTTTCCCCAAGCAAGTGCAGGCTGACATGTAACTGGAGATGTATTGCCGAGATAGAATTCATGATCAGTAGCATAGTTATGAAGATAGGATCCATAATTAGTAGCAATAGTTAGGAAGATACAATCCATAATCAGTAGCAATAGTTATGAAGCAAGTTTGGATCACCTGAGTTCACTACAAAATATCTAGTAGATAATTATGTATCATTCAATCCATTCCTCATCTACAGAGAAAATCATTTGCATCACTGTAATTTATAAATTCCACCTATTTTATTGATTATTGAGGGTCCTTGCACTTCATTAGCATTCTTATTAACATTTACACTGGCCTGGCACCTGCAAGGAGCCATGTGGTGTGGTGCTTATGCCTTGGGCTGCAACTTACCAGCCACTCCTTGGGAGAAAAACAAGGCTTTTTACTCTCCTAAAGAGGTACAGTCTTGAAAACCCACCAGGACAGTTATATACCCTGTCCTATAGGGTTGCTGTGCGTTGGTAGCAACTCAATGGTAGTGAGTTAGTTAGTTTATTGTGCCAACCTGGCTAATAAACACGTG